GGGATCATATTCTCAATCATATTCTGTTTCATTCTGGATAACTGCTTGTAGTGCCATAACAGTGATAAGCAGTTTTTACATGTTCTCTCACAGGGTAAGGGACAGAAATGTTTTATTCAGAATGTTAAGATAACAGATGTAGAAAAGGTAATTGCTTGGAAAAGATTAAGAAATCAGTGCTAAAGAAAAATCATGGCAATATCTCTTACCCAGAGAATACTGCTGTTATGTTTCATATGGCTGCCAGGAAATCTCTTTGACCCACTAGAGAACTGGGTATTGGATACATGGAGCTCCCTAAGCTATCAAAATACATTTAAGCTTTAAAAAACACATTTTAACTCAGCTATCAAATAAAAAAACAGTGAAAATATATGTCTCTGGGGCAATACATGCCATGGCTTTGCACAGCAGCGGTAAGTGTCCTTCACTGAGAGAACTTCCCTTAGACAACAACACAAACCTAATCTAGCAGTGTTCAGAGTATATACAAAATCTTATCAAACTCATTCTCAAAAAGGTGGATTAATTGGCCATTGCTGCAAACTGGAAGTCTCCTGCAGCACCATCAGTGACGGACTGGCAAGACAAGCTATGGGAACACCTGGTCATGGCAAAAATTGCTGATTCGCTCAGGTGTGCACAATCAGTTACCCCACACCATTCCACATTTGTGTCAACTTGGTTCCCTGTGGTCTCCTATTTACAGGTTCTGGATATTCTCCCCCCTAACCCTCTTTATCTGAAGTGGTTAACCTTGTAGGTTCAGACCCCTTCCATTTAGATGACATTCTTGTAGACGGATGCACTGTATTACGCTGTATCGTGCTTTAATTTAAAATTAATAAAAATGATTACCAAAAAAAAAAGGTGGATTAATATTCTAAACTGTTCAGACAATTGGAATCAGTGGACAATCAAGAAGCAAAGAACCAGTTTTATCATCATCCTTTCTCAACACTGTTCAGCAAAGTATCAGCTGATATGTTCCCTTATTCCAGTGAAATAATAACTACTGACTATAGAAAATAAAAAAGAAAACCACAAGATCTGAAGCTGCATGTGTAAAGTACCATCGTTATTGCAGCCAAATTATGGCTATTACTAGGATTCTAAAGGCAAGAGAGACAGAAGTGGTTTGTCATTGTCTTGCCTCTGTAGCAGCCTTGAAGTTCCTTGGTGGTCTCTCATTTAATGAGGGCCCACCCTGCTTAGCTTCTGAGATCTGACAACACTGGGCTAGCCTGGGCAACCCAGTTCAGGAAATTCTCAGAGTCCTTGCCAATTAATTTAAACACAACAGTTCTGCTTCAGAAAATTGTTTTGCTACTACGGATGCATTAGATTAAACTCCATTCTAAAGGCCCTCATATCATGCAGTTGTACAAATTGCAGTTGTACCTAGACCCAGAGGAGAGAGAGAGAAACAATGCAAATTGGCATACCAGTTTTGTGGCACATCCCAGAGGAACCTCTTGTCAGAGTCTACTACAGTAGCCAGTCCTTTAGCAGGTAGCAGTCCCATCACTCTCTTTCCTTTAGGGTCCAGTCCTGAGAATTCCATTCCCAACATGCATTGTTGTAACGTCCAGTTTCCTGGAAAAGAATTGCATGGCCCTGTGAAGCTGCCCCTATAAAGTGTTGTTGACCGATTGTTCATTTTTAAAAACAAAATAAACACACATAATGTTCGGATAACTTTGTACATCTAGGTCTTTGCATCCTGCATGCCTGATCACAAGTAAGAAAGGCCACTGTCTGACTGGTTGTCATCAGTACAGAGGGGAATCACATCTAATTTCTAAAATCTTGAAATCTGGCTGCAGTAGACTCTAACATCTTTGTCTCCCCTAAATCAATAGCACTGAGCTGTTTGTTTCTGGATTGACCCCTCCATGACAAGACAATAAGTAATTTATAGCAAGGATAAAGAGAACTTATTTTAGGGTTGGGCATTTGACCAGTAAAGGAACATTTGATCAACTGATCAGTCAAATAAGATTAAATATTGGTCAACTATTTTTGAACGAGTGGGTTTACCTAACTAATCTGATTATAATTCACATAAATGATATTATGAAACAGTAAAATTATATTTTAGCTTTAAATCTTTATTACAACTTTTAACGATGTCAGGTAAGACTTCAGTAAGTGTGAAAGGTTCACTGAAAGTGCTTCTCTTTGGCTTTTACCCTGAAACATCAGAATGGGCCAAGAGTTTCAACTCCAAAAAGAAATGAAATTAAACCAGAAATAAAGTAACAGCAACTCCAAAAATCAAAAGTCAAGATTTAAAAGCAGCCCACTAAGTAGGCCCAGGCAGGGCCAGCTACCAGTCTGTAGATGCATGCAGTTACAACAGACTGCCAGTAGGAGACGTTTTGCGCTGTTACTAAATTTGCCTGCTTATTGTAGCCTTGGCTTTGCTAACAGAAACTTTTAACAAGGCTAACTGCCACTTACACAGTGATATAACATCAAAGAAACAGTCACTTCACTGGTATGTCAACCCTATCTTATTGGCCATTAACCTAAAGTGAAGTTTCCCTGTAAAATCACCTCTGCTAACAAGTGTCCATAGGACTGCATTAAGTTGTTAACACTATATGAAGCAAGACTTTTAATCCCGTTCTCTGAATGAAGAAATCATAACCAAGGTGAAGCGATTAGCTGTAGGGTACAGAAGGAGTATAACAGTAGGAGGGGAGGAGGAACTCCCATATTTTAATCCTATGCCAGTCTCTTCACCCATACAATGATGATATAGTTACCTCATTACAAGGAAGTGACTTAAGTTTGTGTAACACACAAAAACTCAAATGGAAATCAGTCTCAGGAGGTATCGGTCATATGGAAAAATAATGTTACCTGATCCAAATTCAGGCCTTTAGTTACATAGGTCCTATGACCGATGGACAAATTAAAAGCTGACAAATCACCTGGGCCAGATGGCATACATCCAAGAGTTCTGAAAGAACTCAAATGTGAACTTGTGGATCTCCTGACAAAAATATGCAGTCTTTCACTAAAATCTGCCTCCATTCCTGAGGACTGGAAGGTAGCTAATGTAACTTCATCTTTTAAAAAGTTCCAGAGAAGAGCTGGGAAATCTAACGTCATGTACAACAATACTGGGTAAGTTGGTGGAATCCATTATTAAAGACAGAATGAGTAGGCACACTGATGAATAAAAGCTATTGAGGAAGAATCAGCATGGATTCTGTAAGGGAAGATCTTGTCTCACTAACCTTTTAGAGTTCTTTGAGGAGGTGAACAAACATGTGGACAAAGGGGAACCAATAGATGTTGTTTACCTAGACTTCCAGAAAGCTTTTGATAAAGTTCCTCATCAAAGTCTCCTAAGTAAACTCAGCAGTCATGGGATAAGAGGACAAGTCCTCTTGTGGATTAAAAACTGGTTAACTAACAGACAACAGTATAAAAGGGTAGTTTTCAAGGTGGAAGGTGGTAAGCAGTGGGATACCAAAGGGCTTGGTACTAGGTCCGGTGCTTTTTATCTTAGAATCATAAAGTTGGAAGGGACCTCCAGGGTCATCTAGTCCAACCCCCGGCACAATGCAGAAAATTCACAAATACCTCCCCCCCCACACCCCCGATGACCCATGTTCCATGCCCAGAAGATGACAAAAAACCTCCAGGATCCCTGGCCAAACCAGCCTGGAGAAAAAGTGCTTTCTGACCCCAAAGTGGCAATCAGCATTTCCCTGGCGTATAAGAAAGGGCCATAAGAACTGAGGTAGCCCTTCCTGCCCTCTCTCTCATGATCTGCCTAAGTTTACAGAATCCGCACACAATCTTATTCATTAATGATTTGGAGTTGGGAGTAAGCAGTGAAGTGGCTAGGTTTGCAGATGACACTAAGTTGTTCAGGGCCATGAAAACCAGGGAGGACTGTGAGGTGCTTCAGAGAGATCTGTCAAGGCTGGACAAGTGGGCATCAATGTGGCAAATGAGGTTCAGCATGAGCAGGTGCAAATTAATGCACATTGGAGCCAAAAATCCCAACTATAAATACAAGTTGATGGGGTCCAAACTGGTGGTAACTGACCAGGAGAGAGATCTTGGAGTCATGGTAGATCTTCCTGAAAATGTCAACTCAGTGTGCGACTGCAATAAAAAAGGCAAATACTATGCTGGGAATTATTAGGAAGGGAATTGAAAAAAAATCAGCCAGTATCTTACTACCCCAGTATAAATCTATGGTGCAGCCTTATTTGGAATACTGTGTACAGTTCTGGTTACTGTACCTCAAAAAAGATATTACAGCATTGAAAAAGGTGCAAAAAAGGGCAACTAAAATTATTAAGGGGATGGCACACTTTCACTATGAAGAAAGGTTAAAGAGGTTAGGGTTCTTTAGCTTGGAGAAATGACTGAGGGGTGACATGATAGAGGCTTACGAAATTATGCATGGGATAGAGAAGGTAGAGAAATAAGTACTTTTCTCCCTTTCTTACAATACAAGAAATTGTGGGCACTCAATGAAATTGATGAGCAGTAGGTTTAGAACAGATAAAAGGAAGTACTTCTTCACCCAAAGAGTAATTAACCCATGGAATTCACTGCTGCAGGAAGTGGTGGCAGCTACAAAAGGGGGTTGGATAAACATATGGAACAGAGATCCATCAGTAGCTATTAGCCACAAGGTATAGATGGAACACTATGTCTGGGGCAGTGATGCTCTGTATTCTTGGTGCTTGGGGGGCAATAATGAGAGGACCTCTGGAGTTCTGGCCCCACTGGTGGACCTCCTGATGGCACCTGGTTTTTGGCCAGTGTGTGACACAGAGTGTTGGACTGGATGGGCCATTGGCCTGATCCAGTATGGCTTCTCTTATGTTCTTAATACTGCCCACTCTGTCTAACAGTTTGTCTCCAAGGTCTCAGGCAGAGGCAATTACCAGCCCGGCTGCCAAGACCCTTTAATTGATCATGGTGGGGTTTAATTCTGGAATGGTTACCATGCAAAACATGTAATGATGGTCACTGGTAAGGGACCATTCCATAGCACTCCTGGATTTTAAACAAAGTACCTCTTATTGTTTAGATCAGACAAAAAGATTACCACCATTGTATTGGTCATACTATTAAAAATATTGTGATTGTCTTATTTAAAAGAAATTTATCAACTCACCTGGAATGGCATCTGGAGAGAGTTTTCCTGTGGCCAACATGATGTCACGGAAATTGAGAGATGCATAACAGACTCTGCAGAGCTGGACATCAGGGTTGGTTGTGTAGAAATGGCGAAGTGGGGAAGCAATCCAATGAAGTGAAGAGAGATCGCCACGTGTCAGTACATTTACAAATGCATATTCAGTGAGCTCTTGAGATTTCGCTAAAAAAGAGCAGGAGACCAAAGTCATCTTTCTGCCATTTTATAAGTATAGCTATGTTTCATGAGAAAATATATCTGTTGGACACTAGGAATAAGAAAAAGAATTGAGGGATTGTCCTTAAAGTCAGCCATTTTCTTGCATATTGTCATTTAAGACATTCTGCCTACAATTTCAATTCATGCTTCTTGGCTATGTTGGAAAAGAAATTTGCTATTTCACAATATCAAGACAACAGTAACCCAGTACTGAAAGATTATTTCCTTTGATCATTACTGGGAAGAGTGTCTGGGTTATACAGCATAAAACCTCTGATAACATCATTGTAATCCCCATGGAAATAAACGTTGCCACAAACTGGTCTTATTGTCAAACTCGGAACCTCGTTTGCCATGAGTTTTGTATGTTCCATCATCACTGCCTGTAACCATACCATTTGGATTCTGAATTCAGGGCATGGAAGGGGGGGAGGAAATAGTGAGAGTGTATATGTGTGGGAAACTTTCACTTAGCTGCTTTGCAACTGTTTTCTTAAGAGGCCTCCCGACATGGGAAGTATGTGAAACGACCTTGGATGCCTGTCTTTGTTAGCTGGCCTGTCATAAATAATGTAACTGTAGGTTCGCAGATGAGGGGGGGGGGGGGGCTAATGGAGCACACTGGGTTTAGGGGGACGGTCACTGGGAGGGGGGGAGGCTTGTCTGAATCATGTATAATTCCAGAACTGGCACCAAACTAAGCACTTCTGACACAAGATGGTCTTAGCTTGATTACATCCTCATCACTCAATAAACAAAGCTCTACCAAGAGAGTGTTGTTGAAAGTTTGTTCAAGAGTCTGACATAAAAGTCTGACGTTTATTCATGACAGTCACCTTGCTTTAACAGGATGTGTCTGAAAGAGCCCCATTTTCCATCTCGATAAATATTCATCACTACATCATTCTGCAGAATCTTCTGCATCTCCTTGGCAGACGAACTGGTAGAGGGTTTAGGAGAAGAAGCGTTCAGGTTGGAAACGAAGAGACACCTAGTGAATAAAATACAACATTTAAATAAACTTCTTACTTAACTTACATTTTTGTCAGTTATTCATAAAAAGTGACATAATAATGATCCTGTCACTGGATGTTGAAGTTTTGTACCTGATCCTGTGGCCCCCAGGTTCTTGACGAAGACAATTCACCATGCCAACTACTCCTGAAGTCCCACAGCTAGTAGCAGTTAGCCACACTGGCTGTTCTGAAGGTTCTGCTAGCATTTCCTGCAAGAGAATTCGCAGCCTATTTTATTAATTAACACAGAAACTTTTTAAAAAGTGACTTCCAGAATGCATAATATGAAGGAAGGTTTTGTTAAAAGCCTAGAATGTATCTTCTACCTGGAAACCCAGGAACAAGAATGACAAGCAACTTGCATCCAAACTGGAAGTCCTTACCTTCAAAGGCTCCACCCATTTGTAATCCGTGTCATCCACAGGCAAGAAAATAGGCTTCTTGGCAGGAGCTGGCCGGCGACATAAGAAGATGGCTGCACCAAAGGAGGACCTTTTCCTAGCCACCAAATTCAAACCGACCTTGCTAAACAGATCCTCCCATTCTACCTATCAAGCCAAACAAACTGAGCATTACAAAATGATCAAATGACTCTTGAACAAATATACATTTATTTGTTGGTTCTAAAGGTTTTGAATCAGTTAGTTATTAGTTAAATACATTTTGGCAATCCCTTCCCAGAACAGCAAAACAATTTTTGTTTGAACAGAGCATTGCTAATTCATTCTGCCTTCTACTCCATGAGTGGAAAATATTTTTCAAACCCCCTAAATATTCCAATACTGGTCTATGCTGTGCCGTGCAAATAGTTAAATAATTCATTAAAAGTTTATTTTAAGTTAAAATACTCATTAAAAACGCATCAATAATCTGAAAAAAAGATTAGAAGGGGAGAGTTTGTCTGAATTCATAAGTTCCTAATATATTAATTTGCTTATAAAATAAATACTTGCTAGGGTGGGAAAACCCTACCATGAATACACTCTGATCAAAGCGTGACCTATTCCAGAGCCAACTAGAGAAAAACAAGAGGGTTTGCAGTTTTACCTGAGTCAGGAGACTTGGTTTCTTCTGAAGGTCTGGATCTGTGAGGAAACGGACTATTTCTCCCAGAGTTTCTCCTTTCAGAAGAGTGTGCAATAACACAAACCCGCCTTCCTTCACTGTGGCTGCCATGTTGGAGAGCACCTCTGCTGGATTCTTGAAAGTGTTCAGTGAGCAATTGCACACCAGGAGATCAGCACTGGTCAGAACTCCAGAAGGAGGGTTAGCAGGGTCCCACTGGTCAATGGAAACACCAATTTCCTGCAGATGGCCCTCATGTGATGCAAGGACTTCTGCAGCTGCATCAGTGGCAATGTAGTCTAGTTGTAGCATGGGTTGAGTATTTAAAAGACTTGTAACTCTTGAGAATAAGTGCCCATCTCCTGCCAGAGCCTGCAAACACAGAGTACTGTTTTCGGGTTTTTTTAATTTTAAACTGTTTACTGAAGATCCAAGTTAACAACAGTACTGGTTAACAATCAATATACATGGGGAAAAATAAAAGGCAGATTTCAGAGCTCTGCAGAGTTGCCCTCCACAGCTTACCTCTACTATCTTCATCTTGCGACTGGTAAGGTTCTCCAGTGCTATGTCAACACAAGTCTTCAACTGAGAAAAATCCAGCAAGCCATTGAGAAGGGGATCTTCTTGAAGATGCAGCTTCTCTCGAGTCACAACCTGTTCTAGTTCTGAGTAGAGGTTTCCATTCAGTTCTAGGCGGCAGATTTCAGCAAGGATGTGCAGGAGACCCTTTGATTCAGGTTCTTTTTGTACAGGGGTATTTACAGTCTCCAGCCCTGGAATAGCCAACTTGACTCCATGCATTGCTATCTTCTTCTGCAAGTTCTGGATCAACACTGTAGGACACAAAGAAGAAAACACGCACATGTATTTGAGAGACTCTTTAAAATCAGTGAAGAAGAGACTGTGACAATAACACTTGTGAGTACAGGACATCCTTGCTAGAAAATCTTCATCAGGGATAAAGTTATTCCAAAAGGAAAGGTCTGTCTTTGACTAAAATCAGATCCCAGGTCAAAAGATCTTGATATCTTTCAAGGACCAATGATTTAATCTGCAGATAAGAACCCCACCACCCCATCCTCTAGCAGAAATTTTTTTTTTAATGATCTTCTAAGCATGGAGATAATGGCTTGCCTGGTGTCCCGCCGCCGGGTCGCCCCCACCCCCTCTGGCGCCAGCGGGCCTCCCACTACCACCCAAAGGCCCCTCCCCGTGCCACTCACTACTTACCCAGGGCCCTGGAAGGGCCAGAGAAGAGAGCCCGAGAGGAGCCGGACCAGCTGAAACGATGCCGTGGCAGCCCCTCCCGTGCTTCCCCAGGGAGAAACAGGATGAGTGAGGCCGCTCCAGCCCAGGGAGAAACAGCCGTTGTCGGGCCACACTCCCGAGCCCATCGGCCTGAGCGCAGCAGCCCTCCAACGCCCCACCCTGACCTGGAAGAGGCAGCTGGGGCCGTGGCCTCACTCGAGGCCCGGCGTCTCCAGCTAAATAAGGGGGTGTGGCCATGGGGAGAGGAAGGGAGGGGTGGGTCCAGGGAACGCTGGGTGGGGGAAACAGGGAGGGGATAAAAGCAGGGCAGCAGCAGGGGCCAGGGAGGATGACCTGGAGAAGGTGCAGTTGCGCCCAGAGAGACTGAAGACAAGCCCTCCAGAAGGAACGGGTTGGTAGGGAGTGGTGGCGTAACCCCCCCTCCCCCGCTCAGGTGTCTGAGGCCCCTGAGGGAAGAGGCTCCAAGGTGGCTGAGCGCCTGGACCATTCGGAATCCAGAGACTGGGGGGGGGGGGGTGATTTACCCTTGGTAGATAACAAGCAATGGGGACAAAACTGTTGTTTTCCCCTCCCTCTGCACAATTACTAGCCATGTGCCATGTCTGAGAAACAGGAGGTATTTACTTTACAAACCCATTTGGCTTGGGAAATAACAAGATGTGTTTTATAACAGAGGATGCTGTTCTCATCCATATAAAGCTTTTACAGATCACTTTCCAGAGACATTTGTGTCAAGTCAGGCCAAAAGCAACAAGCTTTAATGGTTCAGTTTCACTCTGCATCTTTCCTGATAACAGCACTGACTTCAGAAAATAAAGCTGCGCCAACCTGTGTTTTTGCTTTAAAAATTCACTGGCCATTACTTACATCAAACAGAATAGGAGGTAGTTCTCTCACTTTGTGGTCCTGATGCCAACTTTGTACAGGGCGTGTCATTTTCAGAAATGAATTCAAGGGAAATAAAATTCTCCTTACCTTTGCAGTTTTCAAAGCAGGAGAGAAGCTGGGCATCAGAGGACAAGCAATCACCCTCAACATGGGGCACAAAGCAAAATTTCTCAAGTGTTGGAGGGGTCTGTTCCTGCTGTCGCCGAGGGGCAACACTAGCATGAAGGCCAGAAACCTGAACAGCTCCAGCTGTGATGGTATTAAGGCAACGGTCAACAACAGCATCAAAAGCTACAAGGTAAGAAGAGAGCAAGCAGAAAAGTGTTGGTGAAGTCACGGAGACACAAAACAAGGATAATTAAGTTCATTTACAGCCTGCCTTTCTCTATGAGGTAGTTTACAAAATATGAAATCAATTACATCAGACAGCAAAGATCTCCTAAAATTGATGCCGTAGGACAAGGATTACAGAGACTGGAAAACCTGTCTCTGAGAAAGCATTGGTGCCTATTACCTTCAATATCATCACTGTATTTGTGTACACATTCGTTGTGTACTGTTGGGTCGATGCAAACTGAGCGGATTCTGGTTGGCAACCGCAGACTTCTTCCTGTTTCCCCCAAGATTATCAAATGTAGAAGGGTGTCAAGGAATGTCACCCAGTTCCCATTCCACAGCACCTTCCCAGAATTTCCTAGTGGTGAAAAGGAAACCCATTAGCAAAGCCTCTCTAAATATCCACCAACCCTGGCACAAAGTAAACAAGGATGTAAATTTGCTGTACAGTATTAATTCTACTAGCTATAGACCTGTATTCCCAACTTTCCAAGCTAGCTCAGAAAACAATGTTTATAATGCTTCTTAATTTTTCCAAATCTTCTCTCGAGGTGTCAGGCACTCAAGACATCCACATCCCTACACACAAACTGCATGCCACAGACGGACTTCAGTTCTTACAACCAACCACTTTTACAACCAATCACTTTAACAAGTAGGTCTCTAAGATGAATAGAAATAATTGCAATTTAAATTAAATACCATCACTACTGGATTCTATAAGTCCCTGGAATGTCGGCCCATAGTCATAACCACGCAGGCGAAGCTCTTTGTAAATGTCCCCCTTAGTTAAGGTGATTTCTGAACAGGTATCTTTCTGGTCAATTTGCTGGTTACGGAAGTTATTCAGAGCAGTTTCTTCCAAAAGGCAAATTTTTCCTTGAAGATGCAACACACAGAGAACAAGAACAGTCAATGGCCAGGAACATACACAGCACTGAGTTACTCAGAACACATCTACAGGAAGCAGCGACTTACCACTGACAGCCAGACTTCCATTGCTGGATACTTCAAAACACTGAGAAGCAGGCATGAGTCTCACCTCTAGCTGTGCTGAACCTGCAAGGTAAACCAGAGATTAGTGGGATGATAAGAAAACCTCAGCCTCAGGTTTCACTTGTTTTCACACCTGTGAAAGCATCCCAGCATGCATAAAATAAGCTGCATAGATTTTTTTTACCTGTCATTCACCTGTCATCTTTGCTTGCTATCTTAGACTTGTTTAACTGTTTTGTCTAACACCTTATAGCAAGGTAGGGGTTATAAATCTGCTGATCTGGCTTCCTGATTGTTTATTTATTATTTATTCATTCATTTAATTTGTATCCCACCCTCCCTGCCAAGGGAGGCTCAGGGCGGCTTACATAAAACATTATTATTGAGGTATTCTGACAGAAGCTCCCAGCTGAGACCATTCAGGCTCAAGAAAATATCATGTTCTGAATAATACAGACACAGAGTTGGATCCCAACTACTGCCAGCAAATCTTTGCTGTGTTTCCCTTACCCCAGCAGTCCCCTTCCAATCTCTGGAAACTAGATTTCTGGGAATTAGAATGGATTACTACCAGGAGAAGATGCGGCAGCGATCCTCACCTGCCATTGGTGTAGTTAGGGTTCAACCCATAATTCTGTTTCACTGTAATTCACGTGCAGATTGAACTGAATAGAAATTGGAATGGTTAGCTCAGGGATCCCCAATGTAGTGCCTATGGGTGCCATAGTGCATGCTGACAACATTCCTGGCACCTGCCCAGTGATTTTAGAAAGCGGGCAGGGCTTCTGATTGGCCACTGGAGATCTGACTGGTTGTGAAGACACAGAGAGAGAGATCTATATCTGTAGAGTTCATTCTAAAAGGTTGCCTATTAAACATAACTTCTGCCTGAAATGTTGGCGTGACTATCAGAGTTATGCATAATCTCACTCCCTCACATTTTATTGTGGGCACTACCTCCTGCGGCAGTCATTTTGTCACTGGCTCTGCTTCTTGTGGCAGCCATTTTGTGGTTGCACCCACCACCCTGTGTCAGAGTTCCACAGGTGCCTGCAGGCCAGGCCCATAGCTACAGTGGGGCCTCTCAGGGCCTGGCCCCCCAACTTACCGCCAAGGCCCCATGACCTCCCATCCAGCCCAGGCCCCCTGACTTTATTGTGCTTGTCACCGGCAAGCCCCACACCGCCCTCCGATCCCACACCACTCTCTCGCCTCCTCGGTATTGGCAGCAGGAGCGCCTGCCAAAAGGCGAGAGGGTGCCAGTGGAGGGGATGCGCATGTGCCCGCTCCGGCTCTCCCCACCTACCATTCAGCCACAGCTGGAGGAGGAGGAGGAGCCACCAGGAGCAGGAAT